TAGTTAATCTTTCTTAGAAGTTTCAGTTAGATATGAATTTCTTCTTTTAGTTAGCTATGTATTTTTCTTTTTGTCTTCGATGATTTGTCTTGCCTAGTTGTTAATTGAATAGTCAGAGGGTTTTTTTTATATATATATTAGTGTGTGGTAATTTAATGTTTAAGCCTAAAATTGTTTAAATCATCCTTGGGACATTGGTGAAGTAGAGGCCGGTTTAACCAGGTTTGTGTTGGGCCTAACACCTTCCTACACCGTACCTTTGCTTGGAACCTAAGAATCTCTATCCCATTGGGAAACAAGTCACCAAGAAAGCTTTTGTTTTTTTTTTTTTGAAAAATCCTTGGTTTTCCTAAATTCCTAATTCCCAAAAATTTATGTGGCAACTCCATACTCCATTGTCCCCCTCCGATTCGGGTAGCCACAGATTTTAAATTTGTATTTTATTTCTTTCATCAATAAAAGAAATTATTCTTTGTTACACTTGTGTTTCTTTAATGTGGTTCATTAATATAAAATATTAAAGATATGGCCAATTGTTTTCTATATAATTTATATATTTTTGTATATATTTTGTGTTTTTATGTATTTTTTAAATTTTATTACGACTTCATGGGTTGACACAAAAGGTTGAATTGTTGATCCACCACCACAAAAATAATTTTTATTTTTGGATTGGTTTTACATTTATATTTCATTCATTCCAACATAAATAAGAGTAATTATTATTTATCACACTTATTTTTTTAATATGATTAATGTATATATTTATATTTATATAACATTTAATATGCACTCAAATTTCTATATTTTTTATTTATTTCTATTTTAAAAGTTATTGTATTTCATTATAACATCATGAATTGGCACAGTTGACCCATATGGCTGAGTTGCTTAAAATGCACTATTGAACTTGTCCAACCCCAACCTAATGACCTTGATCAAACCCTGCCAACACCATGACCATCAAATCAAAACAACCATCTAACTTAGAACCTTGAAATACCTGTTATGATCAAATATCAGCCCTAAACTTTAAACTTTCATCGGCCATCAACTAAAGGTTCCATTCCAACAATTTTGATGATATCACTGAAACTAAAAAACTACCCAATATCATTTCGCTGATTACACCTTTGATCCCAAAATCTCATACTTAACCAACCTGTAAAATTTCATGGCAAAATTCCCTCATTTGACTTATAAACAATTCAAGATTCCATTTCAGGAAGCCATACTAGCCTACTTTGTAACCCAAGATCAACTTAAAATTTCAGGAAGCCATATGTTTTTGTTAAACTCCATACATCCTAAAATACCTATTCATCAAATTTCAACTTAAAATTCTCCCATTTACCCCTCTTTCATAGAAAGATTCTATTCCGAGCTCTCTCATTGGCCTAAGCACCCACAACTTATACTCTCATGATCTCAACATCCTTGAGTCCATCAGAAACTTCCATTATACTTTAGACATCCTAAAATAACTATTCATCAAATTTCAGCTCAAAATTCTCCTATATACCCATCAATCCCAGTTCTGGTGAGCATGACTTCAGATTGCCTCTTCTAGCAAAAGGCAATATCAAGAACTGTTATTGTCATTCCCATTGGTGGAGATCGAACTGGGTAGGGTGGCAAGAGAAGGAACAAGAGCAGAAGATAGAAGCAGTCAAATTGTATATTGTCTTCTCTCTTAATTCAGCAGACTATCTGTTGTATCTCTGTAGGTTCGCCCTGCTCTCCTATTTATAGCCTTAAAGAGAGGTTCTTCTAATCCTATTAGGAGTTTCCTAGTCCAAATGTTATATTTGGATCTGGACTCTCTTTAAGAGATAAGGATAATCCCTTATCTTATCTACAGATAAAGATCAACCTTCCTAATCAAATTAGGAGTTTCCTGATCCAAATCTTTATGTGGATATGGACTCTTTGAGTGGATAGGGAAAAGACTTATTGCCGCTATCTGATGCAGATCTGCACTCTCCAAGGAACCGTTGGTCAGATCGCCAATCTCCTACCTGATGATGGCCGTCATCAGACCCCTTCGTTTCAAGCCTGTCCCCTGATTGGACACTCCCTTGCGGCATGTACACATCCGCTAAGCCTTCTGCCGCGTTGTGCTCTGGCACGCTCTCCCTCGGTGGCGATGGATGGTTGAATTGAGGTGCCTCTTCCTCTGGATTGACAATCACCACTTCTTTTGGGATCCAAGGCATACGTTCCGCCAACCCTACCTGATGCTCGGCGGACTGTGGCTGCGCACCCTGAGCCTTGCCTGACCACGCCTCTTTACCACGACCCTCATACCGTGAGCCTTCTCCTCAAAGACAGCCATTTCAATATCTACACAAGCCAACGTTAAATCAATACCAAGTATAGACTTCGGAAACAAAGAAGATAGCCTAGTATGACCTACAGACCGGACTAGTATTGCTCAGTCGTGCCACTCATCAGTCCGACGCGAATCAACATCGAGAGCGACGTGTACTCCGTCACATCTATCCTCTCTATTCGCCTTATATATGCCAACTCCTCCTCGGTAAGCTCAACCTTGGTTGGCACCTTGACCTTGGTCCTCAGCTTAAGAAGCTTAGCGAGAAACGACTAGCCTCTAGGGTAGTGCACAAAGAAGAATCTCTCCTTCCAGCACTTCGCCGACAAGCACCTTATTATGCTGTCGAGCCGAGAAATAGTAGTAGCCCTACTAATGCTTCTTTAGTTGAAAAAAAATAGACAAACATTGACAGGGTGACATCTAGACCGTGGACTGAACAGTAATAGAGGAGACTGACTAAGTATCTAAAGGAGTTGGGCATTAGTTAGATCGGCTGGACGCGGAACCACCTCACCACTATGGCAATACCCTTGCTCAAAGGAAACCTTAGCCCGACCATCATGATATTCTCATAAACACAGAGCTCGCTAGGCCAAGCCGAGGTGGCTCGTTCACCATCACTCAGGCACCTCATCTCATACTCCTCGGGTATGTAGTACAAGGCCTTGATTCGGGCTAGATCCCCGGGAGTCAGATGAAATGGAGTAGACCCAAAGTGGTTGCCTAGCCGCAGAGGGATGTTGGGCTCCTTAGACACTACCTTGACCTCGACTTCATTGGCCTCGGCCCCCCAAATAGTGGCCTCTTCCAGCTCGGCGGCCTCACCCTCGAATTCGTCAACATCGGCCCCCTGGCCGTCGGCCTCACGAACCATAAGCACGGTAGCCTTGACAAGAGACCCCTGCTCAGACTCGCTACTGGAAATAAACAAAGAAGATGAACAAGAAGAATCAGGGGACGAGGAAGAAGACATCTTACCAGAGTAAAGATGAAGCCCGCGGAAAACTGAAGCACTAGTTGAGGACTACTTCTCGCCGAACTCCAAAGAACACTCTTCGCAAATGACAAGGTGAAAATGCTCTTCACTCCCCTTTTATAGGACTCCCAACGGCCCAAATCAAGGCAAGTTAACAGTGTCGATTTAACGCCGCCCTCTAACAACTCGAGAAGGCAAAATGATGCCTCCGCCCTTCGTACACGTGTAGCCTCAAGGAAATAAAACGATGCCCCTACCGATCCATCTCAGAAATGGTACGAGCATTGAACTAGCCGATTCGCCCAATAAATCATCTACACCCCAAGCCACTCAACTTGGAAAAGTACACTCAACCAAAGAGTTCCTCAGCCAAGAAACGCAGAGGTCTTTCATGCCACACCGTGGCCGAGTACTACACTCATTGACTTCGGAACTGGGGAAGTGGTGTTTGGGTTATGGTTGAACTGGCCCCGCATGCCACGTGACGGCCTCCGTGGCCATCTTATCTCCTTAGCCACGTCGACACCATGTAGGATGGATAAGCATGATCGAGAAGAGCAGTCCCGTAAGGATAAGGAAAGCGACTCCGTCGGGGAAGAGGAGTTATCCCGAAAACCTCAGCGGATAACTTCATCCCGACAACCCCGAAAGCCTCATCCGAATAGGACTCGGATCCTCGACTATAAATAGGTAACCCCCGCTCAAGTTAAGGGACTTTTGGACTTCATACTATTATTCTGCTTCACCTTCTCGGACCGACATTATTCTTAACTGCTCAGCCCGACCACCCATCTCTCACATTACTGACTTGAGTGTCAAAGTGCCTACCTGGGGAACAACTCCTTGGGTGATTAGAATCCCAATCAATGAACAACTCCTTGGTTCAAGACACCTCGGATTGAACAGCATCAAGTTTCTCCAAAGGGACTAGGAGATTCAAAGGAATCACAATCAATGCACAAATTTCTTGACTAATCTAGCTTGGATGTTAAAAGATAGATTCAAGTTTTTTGATTTGCCACTTTCGGGGATTTATCATCTTCTTTATCTAGCTGATGCAATAGGGGGCCTCTACCCTAAGACTTGTGCTTTTGACTAGGCCGTTTTGTTTGTTTGTTTTTCCAATAAAAGAAAAGTTAATTATAATTCACTTTTACTTTTATTTTTTTTTGGGTATTTGCCAATCAATTTTGTTTTACACTTTTACTTTTATTAGTAAATATTTACATACATTTGTACGTGGTAGTATCTCTAAGACAACTATTTATAATTCATGGATAATTTTTAAACAGTTATAAATGGACAGTTTCTAAGGTAGTTAGTTTCTGAAATGAGAGTAAAGGACATACATACTCTCTTTATCCTCATTATATTTTTAAGCAAGGGATAAAAAATGTTCAATAAAAATTTTAAATAGGCATTCTCTTTTATAGGTAGTATAGATAAATTATTTGCGTGGAAAGTGACTTTTTTTTTAAAAGACCTTTTTTTTTAAATAGGGTTAATTATTTGTGTGGAGCTCAATTGTATGATCTATATTTAAGGCTTTGTCATTTGACGGACCTAGGACGAAAAACTTTGGTCTTTGGCTGTTTGGAACTATGCTGTTAGAATGCCACGTTACCATGAGAGTGGGGTAAAATAGTACTATTTGCCCCCCCACCCCCCACCCACCCATTTCCTTTTGACCATAAATTTGACATGGGCGTTGATAGGGTTGATAAGGTTGAAAATTCACGGATGGATAGTCCTGAGTCTCGACACCGTGGCCATTTGCATTGATAAATTTATGAATGGTTTATCTTATAGCAAAGCTCTTGCATGTTTAGCATTGTTCTTAGTTTCACTCTATTTGTGACTGGAACCCTATTTGCTAAGCATCCATCGGCAATACTCAGCAACGATGGCAGCAATGTTGGCTCAGAATTTCTGCAATTCAAGTGCTCGAGAAAATGTTACACAAAGGGTAGATGGAACAAGGGCAGATAGGCAAATAGATCTCTCAGTCAAGAATCGAAAGTCTATTTCAGCCCAAAAGAATGGCAGTAAAACAACGGCTGTGAAAGCTCTGACTGGATTGCCTAATTTCTCACTTAATCGTACTTTATGTTCTTATGTGGATTCTGGGCACATGGACAAAGCTCTTTCTTTATTCGAGAGTTTAGAGAATCCAGAAACCTTCTTATGGAATGTTATGATTAGAGGGTACACTGATAATGGGTTCTACAGGAAGGCGATTGAATTTTATCAGTGGATGAACTTTATTGGGGTGAGAGCTGATAAGTTCACCTTCCCTTTTGTAATCAAGTCTTGTGCTGAATTGTCTATTTCTGCAGAAGGATTGAAGGTTCATTCAAGGATGATTAAAATTGGCTTGGATTCCGATATCTTCATTTGTAATTCTCTCATTGCCATGTATTCAAAACTTGGGTATATTGAGTTTGGAGAGAGGATATTTGAGGAAATGCCTGTGAGAGACTTGGTTTCTTGGAATTCTATAATTGGTGGGTATGTTTCAGTTGGGGATGGGGTGAATTCATTATCGCATTTTCGAGAAATGTTAAGACTTGGAATTAATCCTGATAGGTTCGGGATCATTGGTGCTCTTTCTGCTTGTTCTCTTGAGAGATCTCAACAACATGGGAAGGAAATTCACTGCCGTGTAGTTAGATGTGGGTATGGATTTGATATCATGGTCCTGACATCACTCGTTGACATGTACTGCAAATGTGGAAGTGTAGATTTGGCAGAGAGGTTGTTTGATAGGATTTCTTTGAGAGGCTTGGTTTCTTGGAACTCAATGATAGGTGGGTATGCATTGAACAATGAGCCAATTAAGGCAATCACTTGCTTGATAGAGATGCAGAATTCTCATAATTTGAGTCCTGATGTGATCACGTTGGTGAATGTGCTCCCTGCTTGTGCACAATTAAGAGCTTTTCTACAGGGTAAATCCATCCATTGCTTTGCTGTTAGAAAAGGCTTTGTACCTCATTCAATCTTGGACACTGCTTTAGTTGATATGTATGGGAAATGTGGGAAGACGGTATTGGCAGAGCGTGTGTTTCATCAAATGAATGAGAGGAGCTTGATTTCATGGAATGCTATGATTGCCGCTTATGCACAAAATAGATGTAGCTTAAAAGCCCTGACACAATTTTCTTCCCTTCAGAAAGGGCCCCTCAGACCAGATGCCGTAACAATTGCAAGCATCCTACCTTCGTATGCTGAATCAGCCTCACTAATGGAGGGAAAGCAAATCCATGGTTACATTTCAAAATTAGAATTAAATTTGAATACTTTCATCCTGAACTCTCTGATACATATGTATGCAAAATGTGGTGACCTCCAGATGGCAAGGCAAGTTTTTGACACAATGCATTTTAAGGATGTCATTTCATGGAACACTATGATTATGGCATATGCAATTCATGGGTATGGGAGACTTGGTCTTGAACTATTCTCAAAGATGGAAGAAAATGGCATTAAACCCAATGGGAGTACATTTGTTTCTTTGCTATCGTCTTGTAGCATCGCTGGCATGGTTGATGAAGGATGGAAGTATTTTAGCTCCATGAAAGAAGTCTACAATATTGAGCCCGGGATAGAGCACTATGGATGCATGGTTGATCTTTTAGGTCGCACAGGAAGTCTTGACCAAACCAAGTGTTTCATAGAGGAAATGCCACTAAACCCAACGGCAAGGATATGGGGATCTCTACTGACTGCCTGTAGAAACAATGGAAACTTACAGTTAGCAGAGTTTGCAGCTAAGCATATTTTTTCCATGGGACAAGATAATACTGGGTGCTATACTTTGCTCATCAACATGTATGCTGAAGCTGGAAGGTGGGAAGATGTAGAAAGAATGAGATATCTTATGAAGAAAGAAGGGTTACAGAAAACAATTGCATACAGCATGATTGCACTGAATGGTAACATTTTCAGCTTTGTCAATGGAGACAAGTCTCATACTGAGACCAGCACCATATATGATGTCTTAGATGTTATCTTGACGCATAAAGGGGAAGATAGATACACTCCTATCATTTCCAATTTCAGGCCACTAGATTTACTAAAGAAAAAGGCAAGCACACCGGAGGCTCACAGTGTGAGATTGGCTATTTGTTTTGGCTTGATCTCCATGACAATTGGGACCCCCATCCTTGTCAGAAAAAATGTCAGAATATGTCAGGATTGCCATAATGCTGCAAAAATTATCTCAAAGGTTACTAACCGAGAGATCATAGTGGGGGATTCAAAAATCTATCACCACTTCAAAGATGGATGTTGCTCTTGTGGTGATTATTGGTGATCATTTAACATAAACTTTAGCTAAATTTGTAAATATAAATGCAAAAGATCTATAGAGTAGTTACTAATATGTTATGTTTATATCCTTTTCAAAAATGATGTTATGTTTATATCTATATTTTGTCCGAGGAAAGAATTTGGCTTAATTATAAAAAAACTGAATGGATTTGGCTTTGATAATTTTTGTTTATTTACTTCGTTGGAGTTGTTGCATATGATTTGCAACGGATGCTGGTAAAATATAAATAGTTAGAAAATTCATAAATTGGTCGCTGAAGTCATATAAAAGTTTCTGTTATACATTTGACAAAATATCTTATCCAGTCCATAAATATAGAAAGAGCATCTTTTGTTGATTCTCATAAGAGGTTACCACAATATATAATATATATAGTAAATATGCATGTGCTTTGCATGTGACAAATTTTTATGACGATGATATAGTAAATAATATGTTACAATTTTTTCATATTTCTACATCTATAAAAATTATCCTTATTTGTCAGTTGTCACAGTATGATAAATATACGATATTAGAGATGTACCTAAATGTTTTCTACAATTTTTTGTTGTATTTTATATTTTTGTGTGTTTTCATTTTTTTAATTATTATTATTATTATTTATCTATGAAATCAAAGGTTGCCACACTTTAACCTAAAAAGGTTGAATTGTTGACTCTCCATCAAATAGAAAAATAACTCCATCTTTTGGTTGGTTTTAAATTTTTATTTTATTTCTATTATGAATAAAACAATTAATTTTTATCACACTTGTCTTTTTAATATGATAAATTAATATAGGATTCAATGAAATAATGAGAGTTAATACCCTAAATATAAGACTTAATTGGAGGGAATTGAATGAAGAGAGATGTAGTAGTTCAAATTACATTTTGTGCCTAAAAATTAGAGAGAAATCAAATTAAAAAACATGAGTATTATAGTCAACAATAGGATTAATGAATGTTAATAGGGGTTAACACCTTAAATATAAGACTTAATGATAGGGATTTGAATGAAGAGAAAAGTGGTTGTTCAAATTACATTTTTGTCCTTACAAATTGAGATGGACCAAATTAAAATATGGGGTATTTTAATCAAACAAAAGTTCTACACTCTCATTCACACTTTTAATAGTGTATATATATACAAGGAAGTTGATCTATCTTTTTTCTCATTTTTTAATTATTTTATTTTATTTTATTTCATGTCACTTTTACAAATAACCAATACATAAAGAAAGAGTTACTTTTCTAATGTCTAGCCACATTTCACTAGTATTCCCACTTTCTTATAAATTATCTCTAATTATTTGTTATTCCTATTTTTCTCTTAAATTATCTTTAATTCCTATTTATCATCTCTCCCACTTTTCATCCATATCTATCTACATAAAGTTTGAACTAAAAAATTTAAGAATTATTAACTGATGAGGGCGGATTTGACCCTCTAGTGACATCATGACACATAGCATCTCAAAACAGCTGGATGACACCCTGACACCACATAGGCGATGACTAGTCTTAGCCAAAATGGTAGAACCCGACCTGGCGACCTGCCTCTGCCGTCAACCTGGCAACTTGCCTCTAATGTCGACTTGGTGAAAACCTAGTTAGTGACCTCATCCACAATTCAGGGCGACTTATAGCACCCCGTCCAGGACCAACCTAGGGCACCTCATCACCAGTTGAAGTGACCTCGACTTGAGGAGTGACCTCCTTCGAGGTCTTGCTGACCTGATTGAGGTCTAGGTGGCAACCTGTGAGACATGCTCGTCGACCCATTTTGTATGCACATCCCATCACTCATGGGTTTCTCGGAAGTTGGTCCCCACACCGAATGTTCTAGAGGAAACCGAATAAGGCGCGAAGATTGGTCTACATGCACGACTACCTCCGAGGACTTCGGACCGGTTAAGCACGACCTCTCGGAGATCTCGGACACGATGCGTAAAGCCCACGCCATGCAACGCCTATATATAGGCCTCACATCCAACCTCACAGGGGGGAGAAGGTATGCGGTATTTACTGCTTACTAACTTTCATAACTCCCAAGCTTCTACCTCGCACACAGTCAGTACTAACTTAAGCATCGAAGCGACCACACTAGGTAAACCACCCCGGGTCTTCTGACACTGATTCCTTGTAGGTCTCTCTAAAGAGCTACACAACTCACCTATCTACCTAGTTCGGCACTCGAGCAACCTCTTGGTTCTGCCTAGTTCACTCGGCATCCAAGCCACCTTCCACCAGGAATTCTCTAGCTCGACTTTAGAGTCATCAACCACTAGGAAGCTGCTAGGTCGTGCATCATCAATCAGCATCCAAGTTACCAGTAAACGGGGTGCTTCCAAAACACTCCTCATCAATTGGCACCGTCTATGGGAAATGCAACAAAAAGCTAAGTTCTCACCTTCAAGAAAGCTAAGATCTCACCTTCTAGTTTGATAAGTTTTCACCTTCTAATTTCCATTTTTGTCAATTCAATTACATTTTTGAGTAGCACCAACATCAAGAACAAAGTATTAGTTACTGGGGGGCAAGAACATCCATGATAACCTTTTAAAACCCCTCTGTGACAATCAAGCAAGATCAGTGCCCCTAGCACTTCTTGGAGTAGCAACCGCACTGAACTCAACACTCCTATTATCCCAGGCAAACACACTACTACCTTATGTGGACGGCCCTCTCCTCGTGGTAGAGACATCAATAGTACCGCCAGGATTGGAGCATGGCAGTTTTATGAGTTGAAGCATGGATCTCCAGATGTGGACATGGGAGGAGAAGTTCGACGCATTCACAAAATAACCAACAACATAATGACCTCAACAACTAGCAGTCTAGCGACAGGCACCTCAGAGTAAGGCTGCCCCCGCAAGTCGAGCCCTTCGTGGCTCTCGGGGAAGTTGATGGCCAATAGATCGAGTAGATCTGCTGACCTCAATTCAGCCTGGACGAGCCTCGTCATCCCTCTTCGGGAGGTCTCCCCTACAGGTTGAGCCCTTTGTAGCTCCCGCGAGAATCAGCGACCTACGGACTATGCAAACACCCTTGCGGGTCGAGCCTTTCAAGGCTCCCGTGCGAGTTGGCGAGCTACAATTAGTAGAGCTGCCCCTGTAGGTCGAGCTCCCTATGGATTCTTGTAGGAGTAGACGACCAGCGCCTTCGAGGGCTGATGTAGTGTAGCCGCGACATCAACCTACCGTCCAGCACAGAGTGTAGCGTACATATCAACAAAACTCACAAGCAGAACAGCCATGAACAACCATCCCGGGCGAGCTTCAGCGATCTGGCCTAGAATGTCTCCAGCCTGAACTGTGAAGCCTCACTACTAATCGAGCTCTTCATGGCTCCCCTGAGAGTTAGAAGCGAACTAAATGTCAAATCGGCCTCATAGGTCGAGCCCTTCGTGGTTCCCGTGAGAGTAGGGGACCTACAGACAACAGAGCCGACCCCTCAAGGTGAGCCTCCCATGACTCCAATAGGAGTGGGCAGCCAACAGTTCCCAGAGCAAATGGTACATGTACGCCATGATCTCGCAAGCACCTACCTGGGGAAGCCAATCTCAAAGTGACGACATAGAAGCAACCACATTTAAGACTACAACAGAATGACTATCTGCCTTGGTGACTTGGTCAGACTGAGTCCTAAGGGAAAGCTATACAACATTTAGCTAAGGCCACCTCAAGCCGACCTCGAAGCACGATGGCAACAAGTAGACCGATCTAAGCAGTTCAGCCCCCAATTTATCTAGCTCGGCAACACGTGTAAATCAATCTCAAAGGATGTCGGTATCTCACTACCAACTTAACAAAAAGAGAGAGAGAGAAAAAGAAACGAAGGAAAGAATAGTTCGCTTTCAGCACCGTGGCAGATGCAAACTTGGCCGATCTCTTCATAGCCGACCTCCACCTCGGTTTCAGGCTCCACATCGACCTCACTGGCTACTCTTTTGAGAACCGACTCGAGGGACATTGTGTTGTAGTCTACCTGGATGGAGCGACTTGACGAAGCAGTCATGCAGTTAGAACCTCTTGAAGACGGCATGGCGAACTTCGCTCTTGAGGTATTGGGTTGAATTGCAAAACTTCTTGATGGCTGCATCCCTGGTAAGGTAGATGTCCTTAGAGTGCTTGTTTCTTCTCTCCTCGAGTAGATGAATTCGGTCTTGTGCCCCGATAATCAAGACGGTGAGATCATGCATAAGGCTACATTCAACACTTAGACTCTTCCAACCTGGGGAGCAAAACTAGAATGACGCCAACAGCTACGAGCTCAACCAATTAGTCACTCCAGGCCAAAGAAACAAGCTACTCCCTTTGCCGAACTGATCTCAACTCGAGAATGGGGGGCAATTGATGAGGGCGGATTTGGACCTCTATTGACATCATGACACATGGCATATCAGAACAGCTGGATGACACCCCGACACCACATAGGCGATGACTTGTCTTAGCCAAAATGATAGAGCCCGACCTAGTGACTTGCCTCCACCACCGACCTGGCGACCTACCTCCGCTGCCAACCTAGTGCATGCCTCCGACCTCGACTTGGTGAAAACCGAGCTGGCAACCTCATCCACAATTCAGGGCGGCTTGTAGCACCCCATCCAGGGCTGACCTATGACACCTCGTCACCAACCAAAGTGACCTCGACGTGAGGAGCGGCCTCCTTCGAGGGATTGCCGAACTGATTGAGGTTCAGGTGGCGACCTGCGAGACATACTCACCGACCCATTCTTCATGCACATCCCATCACTCTCGGGTTTCTCGGAAGTTGGCCCCCGCACCGAATGTTCCGGAGGAAACCGAATAAGGCGAGAAAACTGGTCTACGTGCATGGCTACCTCCGAGGACTTCAGACTGGTTAGGCATGACCTCCTAGAGATCTTGGACGCGATGCATAAAGCTCACACCAAGCAACGCCTATATATAGGCCACACCTCCAACCTCATAGGGGGGAGAAGGTACGTGCGATTTACTGCTTACTAGCTTTCATAACTCCCAAGCTTCCAGCTCGCACATAGTCAGTACTAACTTAAGCATCGGAGCAACCATGTCGGGTAAGCCACCCGGGTCCTCTGACACTGATTCCTTGTAGGTCTCTTTAAAGAGCTACATAACTCGCCTATCTACCTAGTTTGGCA